ACTCACACTCTTTGGGTCTTGTCACTGGATCTAACCAACGCCTTTATCCACTGTGCCATGTGTCCTTTCTTCATTCTTCCCAACAAACTTTGTTTATCAGTCCTTTCTCTATTCTGACGACAATATTTCTTGAATCCTTTTTCCGATAAAAAAAAAAAAATGTGTGTCATTTGTATGTTCTTGATGACAAAAAATTTCGATTTTTCAATATGACCGATTGAAAATTTTTGCCTGGCTGTCATATTTAGAAAACAATAATTCAGATTGTTTACATTATCGGCTTTGCGATTTATAACAATTCTATCTGCCACAAAGACGAGAAGTAATCCACATTCTACATTCCACATTTCTCAAATATTTTGGAGTCAACATTCTATTCGGCGTTTCTGGTTATCGCAAAGGAAAAAACATATTTCACTGTTTTTTTCCTTGCTTTATATTTCAATTCATGCTTTCACCTTAATGCTTTTAATGTTTTTAACCCTTCCAATTGTCCAATTCCTATACAGGGTTTAAACATGAACCCTTTTAATCCTTATTTTATGCTACTAGTGTCACAATCGTGTCCCAATAATGCTTTTTTGCGAGTGAATAAAGCATTAGCACTTTTTAAAAAGAAAAACAATTTTTTCCAGGCAAAAAGTACTATCTTTTAGCCCATAGTTGAGGTTTGGATTCCTGCCTTTCCTAGTGATATTTATGCGCAAGTGAATATGTGGAATTTGAACTCAGATTTACGGAGTTCCCATTCCGAGTCGCTATCTATTAAACGACAGGCAAATGCTAATTAGAAAGGAAGCTGAAGCAATCTAAAGTTCGCAAACGTAAACGAACAAGTTAGATTATCATCCGGAACCTTGATGAAGCCCCTGGGATTAACGCTGAATTAGCACAAATTAAGGTCTCTCTACTATCTGGGAACAACTTCCCAATTCTTGGTTAATCAATCTGGATGAGTGAAGAGCATAAAGGTTATGGGTCGGAGTTTATATACTAATTGGGGGTCTGTTTTCGTCAAACACATTAATGCATTTGGGGAAAAGCAGGCATCAATCTTCCACGACCTATGCGTGAAATAAAAGTGTAGACTGAGATATCTTGCCTTGAGGCTAAAGCAATTATCAGAAAACTCTCCACTGTCTTTTCAATAAAGCATGTCAATTTACAAATAATAAAGAAGAGAAAATTATGGAGAGGCATGATCATATATGCCGTTAATGGAGAAAACAGTTATATATTTAAAACTGTAGAAAAAGCTACGGAAAATTTCTTCACAATACTTTTCAAGAAAGCATATCAATTCACATATAATAAAAAAAAGGAATATGTGGAGTGTCATGACCGTCTGTGTCACAAATGAAAGAAAAACAGACCTAGATTCAAGACTAGAAAATGCAAGGGAAAACTACTTCACTATCCTTTCCAAGAAGGCATGTCAATTCACGTATAATAAAGTAAAGCAATCTGTGGAGTGTCATGACCATCTATGTCATAAATGAAAAAATAACAGTTCTGGATTCGAAACTGTAAAGAAAGCAACGGGAACACACGCCAATATCCTTTCCAAGAAAGGATGTCAATTCACAGATAATAGAAAAGAAAAGAAACTATGGATAATCATGATCATCTACGCCCTTAATGGAGAAAACAGTTCTGAATTCAAAACTGTAGACAGGCAACGGGAAACCATCTCACTATCCTTTCAAAGCAGGCGTTTCAATTCACAGATAATTAGGAAAAAGAAACTATGGAGAGACATGATCGTCTACGTTTCTTAATGAAGAAAGCAGTTCTGGTTTCAAATCAGTAAAAGAAGGCAACAGGAAACCACTGACGTATCCTTTCCAAGAAGTGATGTCTATTAACAGATAATAAAGAAAAGGAAGCTATGGAGTGTCACGATCATCTACGACCTTCATTTCTGGATATAAAAATGTTGAGAAGGCAAACGGAAACGAATTTACAATCGCTTCTAAGAAGGAATTTCAATTCACAGACATTAAAGAAAAGGAAATTATGGAGAGTCATGAACGTTTACATCCTTAGTGGAGAAAACTGTTATAGATTCAATTTGACTATCCTTTTTCACGAAGGCATGTCACTTCACAGAAAAAAGAAATGGAAGCAAATTATGTAGCGTTATAATGGAGGAAACATTTCTGCATTCAAAAGTGAAGAGAAGCCGACTGGAAACCACTTCATTCTTCTTCCAAGAAGGCATGTCAATTCACAGTTAATAAAAGAAAGGAATCTGTATAGAATAATGGTTGTCTACGTTTTTAATGTAGAAAACAATTCTGGATTCAAAATGGTGGAAAAATCAACCGGAAACCACTCCAATATCCTTTTTCAAAGATAGTAAAGAAAAGGAAAATATCGAGTGTCATGTTCGTCTACGTGCTTAAACAAGAAAGCAGTTCTTGATTCAAAACTGTTGGGAAGGCTACGAGTAACCATTCCAATATTCTTTTCATGAAGACATGTCAATTGAAAGACAGTAAGGAAAAGAAAGCTGTGAAGTGCCGTTGTCTTCTACGTCCTTAATGTAGAAAATACTTCTGGATTCAGAACTATAGAAAAGGCATTGTCAAACCGCTCCACTATCCTTTCCAAAAAGGCATGTCAATTCACAGGTCAGTAAGAAAAGGAAGATATGGAGTGTCATGATCATCTACGTCCTTCATGGAGAAAACGGGATTCTAAACTTTGGAGAGGGTAACAGGAAACCACTGTACTATTGTTCCCCAAGAAGACATGACAATTCACAGATAGTAAAACGAAAGTTCAGATGCCATGATTACCTGTGTTTAGAAGGTATATTAATAAATGAAGAAGCTAATTATAGGTTTCTGTTAAAGTTAGTTGTGTTCGCTTTTCATTATTACATTTACAAACGATTTGATTCTATCTCGTCTTCCTCCTGCCACAGATTAAATTGCACAGTTATGCTAGGCTCTTTTGCTTTGGTGAGTATCCAGTCTTGGACAAAAGGATGCTTATTTCGAACCGCTGTAGCTAATGGCGCTCACTGGGCTCTCTATACTTAGTAAGATTACGGGCCTAGAGGAGGAGTGTTCTGAATTCAAAACCAGCCTGAATGTAGCTGCTCTATGACCATAATGGTTTAGGTATCTCGGGATCGTGATCAATGTCTATCCGCGAAACGTTGGGGGTTGGCAATTCGCGTCTCGGGTGTCATAATCGCCTGAGATAATTCCATTTCTTATTCGTGTTGGGCCTCACCTTGGTTGTGATGTCAGAACAGATTTGCTTCACAGGACCAAGACCTTATTTGTTGTTTATTTTCGTTATAATTTCCCCAGGAAATGTAAACTGATTTTGACGTATTGGGCCGCGTTGGCATAAGAAAACAATTCGCTTATATCATGTTAACGATATAAATTTAATTACAGTTGACAGGTGATTGCGTGGATAAGATTCCACTTAGCAAAAGTGCACTGGACATTTTTTTAAATATTTCGCTCGTAGTGTAAAGACAAAGTCACTAAGACGTGAGGGGTTACTGAGATAACAATAAAAGAACAAGAAGCCCTGACAAGATTTCAACTACGAGATGTGCGACAGAAGAGACTCTTAAAGTATAACTTATGGTTACATCTAGTAATTTCAATTGTTAAATGATGAGACCTTATCACCAATTTAGTACTGTTCGTAAATTCGTAATATCTCGCTAGCAAAGGGGAAAGGTCATCCGAATGGGCATGAAAATATTAATAGAAAGCTACGTTAGAGCAGGAAAAAGTGACTGAAAACGAGATGCCAGGTCAAGATCGTTAACATTGCCGATTCTTCTTTAGATATAAAGCAATTAAAACTTTGAGAACAATGCCTTGTTCATCAACAGGTTTATTAAAGTAAAACGTAATAATAGAAAAAAGAAATGGATCTTTTCTGTTAATTCTCCCCAAATACAGTGTAACCCGGATATAAGAGAGTTGTCGGGACCGGAGAAGAAGTCTCTTATATCTGGGTTTCTCTTATATCCGGGTTTGGTCTATTTTGTTTAGGTAAGTATGGGAGCACTTTAGAACCAGAGAAAATCTCTCTTATATCCGGGTTTCTCTTATATCCGGGTCTCTTATATCCGGGTTACACTGTAATTTAATGTTATGTATCGCAAATATTAATTAACCCCAGAAATTATAAGTTTTAAAGCAAAGTGTATTTTTTATTAAATGTTTAGTACTGATTTGAAATTCTAAATTTTGATTCATAGTTGTTTTTTATCAAATTTTGTCACTCTTTGGAAATTATAAAAATTAAATCAAAGTTTGCTTTTTTATTAAATTTTTGGCACTGACTATATTTCTGAGTTGAGGTATTGTAACAATGAAGAAGGTAGGAGCGACGGCCGAAAAGTCGTGAACATGGCAATAAAGATGACAACCACAGTCTGAACAATGTAAATAATGTAAATTATTTTTGCACTCTTTTGAAATTATAATTTTAAATCAAAGTTTGTAGTTTTTTATTAAATGCTTTGTAATATTTTGACATTATAATTTTAAATCAATGTTTGTAGTTTTTTATTAAATGCTTGGTACTCTTTTGAAATTATAATTTTAAATCAAAGTTTGTAGTTTTTTATTAATTTTTTGACAATCATTTCACGTTATGAATTTGAAATCTATGTTTGTTTCTTTATTAAAAGCAAGTATGAATTTCTTTGACCCAGAAAGATCGGCTCAAACCCATAAAATGAAAAGTGCCTGGTGGAACGCCAAAATGAGAATAAGTCCTTGTTCGGGACACATTGTTTGAGTTCCCTTGAAGACTTAAGACAAAAAATAACAATGAATGTATTTTTGAACAAATTTTATTGTAATTTCTGAATTTTCGTGTGAATCTTAGTAAATATAAATTCTTTTTATTTTGGAGTGAATTAATATTTTGAGGTGAATTAGCAGATAAGATTCAAATACAGAATCGGTAATCTTTGAAACAATATCTGATTTAGAATTCCTCACCATTAACAGGGCATACGGCCACATCACGTTGAAACACGGGTTCCCGTACGATCACCGAAGTTAAGCAACATCGAGCCTCATCACTACCAAGATGGGATCCGCTTGGAATTACCAGGTGGTGTAAGCTTGGATGTGCGGGTGGTGTAATTTACCTGGGACTACGATTATATCGGGTTGTTAGCAAGGACATACATCTCTCGAAATATGATCCCAATTATATTCATCTGATTTTAAATCGCAGTATGAATTTCGTTCACCCACAAACAACAGCTTACATGCAAAGAATCAAAAGTGCTGAACGCCAAACCGAAGAATAAGTCCATGTTCAGGACTGCACGTTAAACTCTTTTTATTTGTTAGAACTGATAACATTGCAGGCCCTTTTTTAGACTTTGTCAACAATCTTGAAATATACAACAGGAGCACCAGATCTGACATGAATATTTAATGCATGGGCCAATGGTAGATTTATAAATGTGCAAGATGTATTCTGGTGAGAAAAATTGTCTGACATTCAAAAGAGCTATTGAAGGACAGACTGAAACAACTGTTAACTTACCTAAAGAATTTGTATTGAGCTACAAGAAAGAGAAAGTTCTGGAGAGCCATCATCGCCCCTGAAGGTACATGGTGCAGAGAAGAGGAATTGAATAGACTTATTTCCTACACTGGACATCGAGCTGACCATGAGAAACATTTGATTATTTTTCTATTGCTTATAATAATAATGTTAATTAATTCAACAGACCATTTTTTAATCATTTCACGCCAAACAAGGTGATAATGCCACTAAGACGCAACGGGTTACTGTAATGAATAGACAATGTCGAGTATCAATTTCAGAAGCTTTATTCTGCCAAAATGGATATTTATTGTATATAAGAATACAATTATGGCACAAGGCCGAAAAAGGGGAGGGGTTGAGGCTGGTCTTCACTAACTATCCTATACCTAGCTAATTCGATTCACGACCCATTCACTCATTACAATTTGCACATTGACTACAAAAACTCGTCCGTCTTCAACCAATCCTTCATAGACTATAATACCACATCCTCTCAAGGGTGGGGAAGCTACAAAACGTGCCCCGTACCATACAAATTTAATGATCCTAAATCATATATAAAAATCTAAAGATGAAAAATGAGTGGGAAGGAAGATGAACACAATAACAAACTAAACATGAACACAAAGTAAACTAAACATAACTGATGTTAGTAGGGCCAAAATGACCATTAAGAGTTAAATATCATTTTATACAGGGTGGTTAGTATTGAAACAGGTAGGATGGAATAGTTTATTATTATCTCATGGGTAGGTCGGGATAGTTCATTATTATCTCATGGGTAGGTCGGGATAGTTCATTATTATCTCATGGGTAGGATGGAATAGTTCATTATTATATCATGGGTAGGTCGGAATAGTTCATTATCATCTCATGAGCAGAATGGAATAGTTCATTATTATCTTATGTGTAGGATAGAATAGTTCATTATTATATCATGGGTAGGTCGGGATAGTTCATTATCATCTCATGAGCAGAATGGAATAGTTAATTATTATCTCATCGGTAGGATGGAATAGTTCATTATTATCTCATGGGAAAGGTCGGGATAGTTCATTATTATGTCATGGGTAGGTCGGGATAGTTCATTATTATCGTAGCATTTAATAAAACTGAAACATTAAGAAACACCAAAAAATCAGATTCTTAGAAAAAAAAAACACAATGCTCTTGAGGTTTTGTTAAATTTTGCATTTACGATTAGTAAATAAAGTTTTAGTTAATGACAATGTTTGGATACATGCGTAGTATTAGCAAACAATTTTTTTTCAAATATTTATGAATCATTTTGATAAAATAAGAAAGTGAAAAATATATTTTAAAAGTTAATTTTTCATTTATTTTTTTCAGACATCAATAATGTCTATAGAATACTTTTATAGTATAGTTTTACTTTTTATTCATCACACCAATAAGCGAAGTTTAAATCTTCAGACGTTATGCAAATCTGTATTCGATAATTTCACATGAGAAATTTGCATGAGTATCTTAATCTGGGATGATGTTAATTATAGGTAGTTTCAAGAGGATCATAAGTTATGTATGAATCATATTGAAAATCATAATGCATTCAGGTATATATCGCTTCTCGTACAATGTCCATGTGAATACAGCGTGCGTACCAATTGATCTTTGGCCATCTTGGAACGACTTGGACATCTTTGGACATAATCCCTTGCATTAGAATCCTGTTGGATTTTGTTTTTATCTCTATATATCCTGTAATGAATAGACAACGCCAAATAGGGTCTTAACAAGCTTTTTTTTCTGCTAAACTTATCGTTCGTACTTAAACAGCCTTTTTTACAGCGTGGTTAGTATTGGATCGGGTAAGATGGGATAGGATTATTATTTTCAGAGTTATTGAGAATGAAAGAGGATGAGAAGACTTAAGGTACATCGAGCTGACCATGAGAGAAACATATGATTATTTTTTTAATACGTATAATAATAATTTTAATTAATTAAGGATACCGATTTTTAATCATTTCACGCCAAACAAGGTGATAATGCCACTAAGACACAAGGGGTTACTGTAATGAACAAATAACGCCGAGTAATCACTTTTAGAAGGTTTATTATGCCAAATTGATCTTTATTTAATCAAACAGCCTTTGATACAGAGTGGTTAGTATTTTTAATTGGGAAGGATGTGATAGGTTCATTATTGCCACACCTTCCTTTTGAATCTTTTTATTTATCTGTAGCAGATGTTCATTTTCCCAATATTTTCTTCTTATTCGAAGGTTTTTCTTTGTATTTTTTATACAGAGTGGTTAGTATTTTTAATTGGGTAGGATGAGATATGTTTATTATAACAGAGTGTAAGATCTCAGAAAGGTAAAAAAAAAAGGTTTTTATACAGTGAGTAAACAGCTAACACGTAGTGCAAGGGATTCTACATGAAGAGATACAATAGTAAAATAAATGTATAAAAGGCAGCAACCTTAAACAGATCTTCAAATAATAACATCATCAGGGAAATCAGTTGTCGAAGAAAGAGTTACAACGGGTACATAACAATGATGCTATCATTGGGGGTAAGATTTAGCAGGATTGGAAAGATATGAACCGCCTGCATTGTTATGAAGGTTTCAGTTAAACTAAAGGCTAACAGGAAGTGGTCAAAAACGGTAACTAACCTAAAAAGTACCTAAATTAAAAGGGGACAAAGGGGAATAAAACAATACAATTTCTGTAACGTTGTAACAGAAAATGATGTTCTTAACAATGTGAAGAATTGCATGCAAGCATTAGGTATATTCACGAATGTCTTTCTAATTTCAAAACGGAATTGGCTGACCAAATTCGAATTCCAATTTTCTTCTTCTTCTTTTTCATTTTCTTCCTCTTTTTCTTCTTCTATTTTTTCTTCTTTTTCTTTTTATCTTCTTTTTCTTCTTCTTTTAACAATTGACAGACCGAATTCAATTACCAAATTTCTTGTTTTTTCTTCTTTTCCTTTTTTCTTATTCTTTTTTCAGGTTATTTTTCTTCTTCTTTTAGGAACTAACAGACCAAACTCAGATTCTAAATTTCTTTGTTTTTCTTCTTTTTTCTTTTTTTTTCATCGTCTTTTTCTTCTTCTCTTATTTTTTCTTCTTTTAGGAATTGATAGACTGTTATATACCGTACCTAATGGATATATCCCAATCCTCATAAATACGCTGGTCACTATTGTATGTATGTATGTTTGTGTGTGGAGGATATACTGTCTAAGTAGTCCCCAACTAGCAGTGGTTGGTTTACCTACTTCCCGCCGCTGGTGAGTATTGTATTTTGTTGATGTTATAAAGATTACCATTTCATTTCCAACTTCTGTTTTGGTTTTTCCTCATTCAGTAACCATTCCTAGGTTACAATACAGACCGAATTCGAATTCCAAATTTATTCTTTTTTTCTTCTTTTTCTTTTACTTTTTCATCGTCTTTTTCTTGTTCTTTTCTTCTCTTATTTTTTCTTTTTTTAGGAATTGATAGATCAAATTCGAATTCCAAATTTCTTTTTTCTTCTTTTTCTTTTTTCTTTTCTTCTTCTATTTTCTTCTTTTAGGAATTGACAGAGTTAGTTCGAATTCCAAATTTCTTCTTTTTTCTTTTTTTTTTTCTTTTACTGTTTCATCGACTTTTTCTTCATTTTCTTCTCTTGTTTATTCTTCTTTTAGGAATTGACAGACCAAACTCGAATTCCAAATTTCTTTTTTTTTCTTTTTCTTTTCTTTTTATATGCCACTTTCTTAGGGCCTGAGCAAGCATGATTCTACATAATAATTTTCTGTTTTGTCACCTTAAATAATTTTTGAATTTCCACCATCGTCTTTGTTCTTGTTTCGATATTCATTAACGCAAAAAAAAAAACAACAAAAAAAGAAAAAAACTATTTACTTGATGTTTCCATAATCTTTTTCTTGCTGTAAAATCACCCTGCGAGTTTTACATTCTCTAAGCTCCTTTCCTCGTTAGGTTCACCAGAAATATCAGCTTTCCGATTGCTAGTATCGGTTTTCAATACCACTTTCTATATTCGTCGGAAGAAACCACATCTTTATCGCTTCAAGTCTCTTTATCATCTGTGAAGAGACTGCCCATTATTTACTGCCATACAGGAGATTATATTTTGCATAGAAGTTGAGCACTCTTTGTTTCTTTAACGAGATTTTCATGGCTTAATACTTCACCTTCAAATAGCTGGTCTTTAACTGCACACATCGGTCAGATCCTGCCATTTTGTCAATCACGACGAAGGGTCGAACTCTCCCTGAGGTTCCAGATCAAAATTTCGACACATATACCGGGTGTAACAGCAAACTCTTCCAAATAGTGTAACAGCAAAATTGTCCAATTATTAGATTTGGCTTTGAACCGTTGTATCTAAGAAAGGCGTTGGTTAGATCCAGTGACAGACCCAAAGAAGGTGAGTTCAATTCCTGGTTAAGGCAGTGGAGAACTTTCAGAGGGAAAATTAGCAGGAGATAACTGATAACTGACATCCATCAAACATGGCACGTGGAACTAGAACAGTCTACCCCAGTGATCGAAATAAAGGGTTCAGTTCGAAATT